TTCTCTCTCTTTCTTTTTCTACATGTCTTTTTTTCTCTAGATTTCTCTCTCTCAATCTCTCTCTCTCTGTTTTCTCTCTCTCTTTCTCTATGTCCCTGTTTCTCATTCGCACACACTCTCTATCATTTTCTCTTTGTTTCGCAATTTTTTCCTTTTCTCTTTCTTCCTTCTTTTCTTTTTCCCTTTCTTTCTATCATTCTTTGTTTCTCTCTCTCTCTCTCTCTCTCTCTCTCTCTCTCTCTCTCTCTCTCACTTCTCACCTCTCTCTCTTTTTCTCCTCTATCTTCTTCTCTCTCTCCATCTCTATCTAGATATCTCTCTTCCAGCACCTTCTGATGTGCACTAGATGCTAGGCCGAGTTGTTTTGTGAAAGTAAAAAACCAAAATGAGCATTCATAATTGCGACGAAAAAACTTGATTATTTTAAGTTGAAAACGTTCGAGTTATAATTCCATTTCCCCATTTTTAAGTTTACCAAACCTCGATTTTTTAAATGGACGAATGTAATGCTGGTCAGTTCTCGCCCCTTTTAAACATAATCTGATATAATTTAGCATTGTTTAAATGAGTGTCAGTTTATATATATATATATATATATATATATATATATATATATATATATATATATATATATATATATATATATATATATATATACTGATTCAGAAATAGATTTGAGTAAATAACAGTGGTATTATGACAGTAAAAATTTTGTCCAGAAGGGTCCATGGGGGGGGGGGGGGGGGGGGGGGGGGGGTTGTAAACTCCCATAACCCCCCCCCCCATATCACCTACGCCACTGATTTTGAGCGTTATCTATTTGATGCATTGCATTTATTAAATAAAGTTTCATCAAACGTAGGCTTTTGTAAGAGTTTTTTTCAAGTAAAATTTTCAATGTTTAGCTACATATAAATATTACAATTTTATTTAAAAACCCATTAACAGAGTGCAACATGATTTGACAGACAACATTTCGAAATTTGAACGTCAAGCTATAATTAGTTACAATTTGTAATAGCCAAACTTTACCGTAACAAATCAAGACACGGGAGACAGAAATTTTAATTAAATTTGTTGACCCCCCCCCCCCTCCCCCACCCCCACATTTTCTGATACAACAGAAAGAAGTTAGGAAAAGAAAGAGACAAATAAATAAATGCCACGTGGAGGTAAATGGTCTGAAACGCCGGCACTAGGATGTGATTGCTCTGACCTGAGACGGCCAACTTTACCGACTTATCAAACGGAACTGATTGGTTGGCTATTTTGAGGATCAAGAAGATATAAACATTTGATTGGTCAATTCTCAGGAGGCGGGCAATTCTGTACCAATTAACCTCAAGTGCGATTCTGTCTCTTCCAGAGTTCCCATGTCGGAATACCTTCCTTGTGGTATTCTAAATTCTATTTTTAGACCTTCTTCACATTGTCATTGCTGAAGTCAGAACCGACAGGAATTGAAAAGGTCTAATTGCGCATCTCCAAAAAAAGGTCTAAAGTTTAGAAAAACAGAGTCTAGGGTAAGAATATCCTAAGAGGCAAGTCTGGTGACGCAAGAGAACTTTTGGCTGCACTCGGAATAAAAATCTGGCCAGCCATTTCTGCTCGCTGAGCGGATAAATTCAGTTACCAGAAGCCCAAATGTTTCTCGTTAAGTTACTTCCCTTGGGCTAAATATAGAAAAAATATTTCGTCTATGATAATACCTGTTATATGAAAACCATTGGCTAGAAAATAGTTTTATGTAAATTGTGGGGGAGATTTGCATTGAGATTTGCATGTGTGATTGTTTTTGCATGCTGTTTTATCTGAGGGGATGTTTGGTCGATTTTATGTACATTTTAAATTATTTCCTTGCAGAATAAATATCAAGTGTGTATGTGTGTGTGGGTGTTTGTGAAAGTATGCGTGTTTGTGTGCATGCTTGCGTGTTTGTGAAAGTGATTTTTTAATTTGTAAGAGTACGAGCTTTTGTGTTTGTGTTTAAATAATTTTATCTTATATGAGTGTGCGTGTTTGTGAGAGTTTGTATGTGAGTGTTTTGGACAGTTTTTGTGTGCGATGTTGTATGACATTGTATGTACGTGTTTGTGAAAGTTTGTAGGCCTGTTCGTGTTTGTGAGCGTTTGTATGTCTAAGTGCGGGTTTGTGAGAGTTTGTATTTTACTTAAAATGTTTGCGTCTTTGCGTTTTTCTTCGTTCTTAATTGCAGAATTGGCTGGTATTTTCTCCATCACAATTAATAATTACGTGTCAACACGCTACGCGCCGTTATAGACCGTTGACTCTGATTTCAGCCTGCTTTTCTTTCTGGATTTGTTTCGATAGCCTTTGTCCAACCAAGAACAAACCACAAGGCAGCAGTTGTTTTATTTTAGAGTTGTCTTTCCTAGATGGGTTGCCGTTCTCAGCTATCAAGCCTCATGTATCATGTATTTAGACGTTAACTAAATTTGTCTCAAGTACTTTATGATAGTAGAAAGACTGCTTTAGCGGCAGAGAGCTGGACTGCTAACCCGTAAGTCTCGAGTTCGAATCCGGGTTTAAGTCAGTAGACCGTCCCTGAGTCCACCCAACTCTGATGGGTACCTAACTCACGTTAGGGAAAGTAAAGGCGGCTGGGTATAGTGCTGACTAGAATATACCTTCATATGTCGAGGTCACAGAAACAAGTGAACTCTACTTCACTTGCCCTATAGACCGTCAGGTTTGAAAGGGAACTTTACTTTTTTACTTTAAGACAGGGCACATCCTAAATTTTCAGTCTGAATCGACGACAACTTTCAATTACTTGTTTTGTTGACATTTAAAATGTTTGTCTACAGAATGATCTCTTTATTTCTAAATAAATTTGAATCGAGATAAAAAAAAAAAAACAACCCCGATACTTATGTATTCGATTTTAACGTCGAAACAGAATAAAGAATTGTTCTAAAAATACGGTTAAAAACGTTAGGAACAATAGATGACTTTCAAATGTCAGCTTTGATGATGGGAGCCGCAACAAAAGCTGATTGTATGAATACTAGACAGACTTGGTTTTATTTGATCGTGTTTTATGTTATTCAGGTGTTGACATTTTATCAACTTATCTTGAACACGTCAAAATGTTTTATAATTGGTCGAATAGCGAGTTGACAAAATGACACTTGTCTTTAGGTGAATGTATAAAATTGAGTTAAAATGTGATGACAACTTAATTAAATGTAACTACATGTAAAATTGTAAATCATGGACACTTGATTACGTTATTATTGTAAACATTGCAATGCTAAGACTGCTTTTATAGTTTTAATAAAAAAATTATGTATAGTAGAAATGTACAGGGTTGATTATTACTAATTTTATAAATGTTAATTTGCTACTTATATGATTTGACAATGCTACAATAATTAATCTTCGTATTCAGCTGAAGAATGACAAGACAGTTAATCTACAATGAAAGTGAAGACCTTATTTATAATACTTTATAGAGTCTACAAAATATAATTTACATTAAGCATACTAACGCTTAATAAAAGCGGAAATTAGCTAAGATCGTTGAAGAACAATATAATATTTGGAGAGAGGTGTAGTCAATTTAATCTGTGGTTATGTGTGGTCAATTTAACCTTTGGTGATGAGTGTTCAATTTAACCTTTGGTGATGTATGGTCAATTTGATCTTTGGTGATATGTGGGACAATTTAATCTTTGGTGATGTGTGGGGCAATTTAATCTTTGGTGATGTGTGGGACAATTTAATCTTTGGTGATGTGTGGTCAATTTAATCTGTGGTGATGTGTGGTCAATTTAATCGTTGGTGATGTGTGGTCAATTTAATCTTTGGTGATGTGTGGGTCAATTTAATCTATGGTAATGTGTGTGTTCAATTTAACCTTTGGTGATGAGTGTTCAATTTAAACTTTGGTGATGTATGGTCAATTTGATCTTTGGTGATATGTGGGACAATTTAATCTTTGGTGATGTGTGGGACAATTTAATCTTTGGTGATATGTGGGACAATTTAATCTTTGGTGATGTGTGTTCAATTTGATCTTTGGTGATGTATGGTCAATTTAATCTTTTGTGCTGTGTGTGTGTAAATTTAACCTTTGGTGATGTGTGGGTCAATTTAATCTATGGTAATGTGTGTGGTAATTATTGTCACAGTTAAAATCTTAACAAGGCCAAACCTTATAGTCGCGACTATCAACACAATTAGTTGCCATTAAATTGTTGTCATATCAATCTTGATTATTAAACTAATGCACATTTTTATATTCATACACGTAGTCGCCATATCCAAAAACAAAATAAAATGCTAATCCGATCAACAAAACAGATCATTAATTTCTTGACCCTCACTGATTGACGGATTATCCCATTAGGAGCAATGCACATCATTATGTTCTTGGGCTACAATAATAGCCTGTTTGCCTCGTCTAGTTCATCTGTCTTGGTTACCGTTTTAGACCTCGCCATACTCTTGTTCATACGGTCAGTAGTACGGTGTAAACAGTTTAGTTTTAAGAAATACGATGAAAGATACAATTTGTATAAAAGGTTATAAAAGCGACAGAGCGCTAGACTGCAAACAACGAAAGTCTCGAGTGCGAATCCAGGTCAAGTCATATATATATGCGAATGAACGTACCTTTTAGCATGTAACGTAGCAGATTTCATTTTAGTTTTTAATAACTTATTTTAATAAATAACAATCTTCTTTTAACAAAAGAAAACTTAAGCATATGAAAGAGAGAACGGCAACAGAATCAGAAAAAATGACATACAATCATATACATAGTTATAGAGGGACATGTATATATATATATATATATATATATATATATATATATATATATATATATATATATATATATATATATATATATATATAAATTGAAACATACATACATACATGCAGACAGAAAGATTTATAAAGGAGCTAAAAACAGACTGGCGGAGAATCTAATGTAAAAGAATAGTGTCACGTGACGAAGAAGGGAAGCAACTCACCGCTCCACTCCTCAGGCTCCAGTACTTTGGGGACTCGCTGTTGTACCACTTCTTCCAGTAGGCCGAGCTCGGGGCGCCCAGCAGCACCACTAGCACCAGCACCAGCACCGTGTTTCTCATGACCAGACTTGCCATTTCTGGGTGCGCTCGACACTTCGTTGTTAGAGGGGATCAAATATGGGGTAGTCACTAGCGGCTGGTTTATCCCGCACTAGGAGCTGGGGCGAAGAAGGAACATTTTATAATTATTTTTATATGTATATATATATATATATATATATATATATATATATATATATATATATATATATATACTTATACATATACTAGGCATACTGCCTAGCTTCGCTTAGGTTTTCAAAAACATTTGATAATTTGAATACTAATTATTTGGTGATGGATGAGGTGTGGAGTGGTTAAATTGGTTTTTTTTTTTTTTATTAATAGTGACAAAATATATTTAATAAAAATTTACTCTAAATCTAAATTGAGAAAACTGCTCCTCACAAAAATTGCAGGTAAATAGTTTCTGAAAATGTCCCAAGACAACTTTTCTATAAATTATTTTTTTTAAGTAAAGCATTTGAAATTTATATGGCTCTTAGTATTAGTGAAAAATGGCAAAAACATTTCCCCCCCCCCTTTAATTTAAACACATTGATGGTTTATATTTTTTAAAAGGAACAATAGGATTTGTATTTATAATGATTAATTTGAATTTGTCTGTTGTTAATAGTAAGTAAACTATTCACATTCTTTTAATATAAAATAAAATTTCTGAGACAGATTGTGCAAGACAAAATAAAACTTTCAGATAAATAGTTTGTGCATAAATTATAACAGTGACATTCTAAAATAAATACAAATATTAACAAGAACTTTCTGTTTGTTACAGTGTAGTAAATACATTACAGGGAGAATGCTATGCATTTATTATTACTAGTTAGAATTCTCATTTAATGAGTAATCAGTACTGTAAAAATAGCTACATCAAATTTCATGAATCCAACAATATTACTTCAGCTGGAAAATTCTATATTTTTACTTTTTGTCCAAAGTAATGATCACACATTAAGATTGGGCAGTCTGTAAACTCTACAGTGTAGTCATAATACAAGACACGCTCCTCACAACTGGTCAAAACCTCTCCTACAAGGCCACGTTCTTCTAGGGTCATTGTTGGAGGTAAAACAGATTCTGGACTTCTAGAGGTATCACGGAAAACTGCTATTTTACTTGAGCTGTAATGCTAATTTTAGAGAAGATGTTGTATGTTGTTTACCGTACGCTTTCGGAAAAATATTTGCAAGTACGCAATTTATAACTAAAATGGAATTAGAACTACAGAGGTTCAATGAACAGTATATCTCATAACTTATATTACATTGATTTTTAAAATTAAGTGTTTATTTAAGTATGATACGTAATTTTATTAACAACGTATTTTTTTTCTAAAACAAATGCTATACTTTGTCGTTTTCTGTTTCTGTTTAAAATAGTACACAATTATTTGAAAAATAATTATTTAAAAAGGTTACCTCCCTTGAAAATGGACCGAATGATGTATGTCTTTGTTTACTTTTTTAAAACAAACAGTTACTATGCTTATATACGAAAATACGATATATGAACATATTTAACGACTACAATGGCTTTTTCCGACGGGGATAAAGTTTTTTTGTTACCCTCCAGGGTCGGTCTACGACCTCAAATAATATTAAAGAGATTAGCATAATGTACAGAGGTTAAGTTACCTAAAAATTGTGCTGAAAATTCCGTTTTCCTCATAAAATACAAAGATTATATAGGGAAATATGACTGGTCAGTTTTGACCCATTTCACGAATTTTCCCGGACATGGCGAGTTTTTTGTGACACTACAAGGCGTTCTCCTACCACCTCACAAAATTTCAAGGGGGGGTCGTTGGAGGTTTATTTTTTTCGTAATAGAGCTCATATAAAGAGAATTTCACTCGCGGTCACTTGTTAGCCCTCGTCGAGGGCTTTGAGTGAAACCGACAGTTTTCTCTAAAGGTCGAGCCATTTACCTAAGAGCATGCAACAAATTAGCCAGATGTAAAGACTGTAAATGCCCTAAAATCCGTTTTGAAATCACCCTCTGTTTTTCCCATAAAATACAAAGATTATATAGGGAAATACGACTGGTCAGTTTTGACCCGTTTCCCGAATTTTCCCGGACATGGCGAGTTTTTTATGACACCCCAAGGCGTTCTCCTACAACCTCACAAAATTTCAAGGGGGGTCGTTGGAGGCTTTTGTTTTTCCTAATAGAGCTGATATAAAGAGAATTTCACTCGCGGTCACTTATATATATATATATATATATATATATATATATATATATATATATATATATATATACATACATATTACATATTACAAATTACAATGTGTAAAGTTTGTTTAGCACGATATCTCCTTCACATATTTATTCTTTACACTAGATTCAGTTTGAATTCATGGTGAGATTCTACATACTAGCAGAGATCTCAGGAAACTGCAGTTCGCATAGCTTAAAAATATACTAGATCACGTGAGTGAGGTAACTATACTAGTTCACATAAAAAATATAATACTCGATCTCCAAATGCGAAGCAACTATATCAGTTCACATAAAAAATATAATACTCGATCTCCAAATGCGAAGCAACTATATCAGTTCACATAAAAAATATACTCAACCACAAAATCTCTATTAGTTCGCATACAAACTTTACTCTATCACAAAATGCGAGGCAACTCTATTAGTTCACATATCGTGACGTCAGAAAATTGGAGTCAATTATTCAATTATCGCGTCGACTGAAGACTGAGCAGGACCGTTCAATTAATTAGTCGGTGGCTAATTAGGTGACAGAAAGACCAGTGTTATACAGCGACAAAAATTGATTGTAAATACGAATGTTTGTCTAGCCGTTCCCTGGGTAGTAATGCCGGAAAATTCCGGCTCCAATTCTAATGGGTTAGGCGAGTAGTGCCGGCAAATCACGGCTCAGATTCTAATGGGTCAGGCATGTTTCCAGCAATCGATCAGTGACACTCTAAATCACACGTTACCAAACATAAATGGATTAATTAATTAGTGATACGTTTTAATTATACTCGATGTAGCTGTTCGTGTCTGGAAAAAGTTAAAAAATAGGTCGTGTGCATTTTTTTGTGTAGACGTTTAATGTTAGTATGAGGTAACAATCAAGTCTGAACGGATGTTTGGTGACTTCAGATAAAATTTGTTGGGTGACTTCAGATAAAATTTGTTGGGTGTCTTCACCTTCGGTTTTCATAAATTACATAAAAAAAATTAAAATTTTGGGGAAACTAGAGTAAGAGTTACCGAACTTGGGAAGACTAGAGTAGGAGTTACCGAACTTGGGGAGATTAGAGTACAAGTTACCGAACTTGGGAGACTAGAGTAAGAGTTACCGAACTAGGTCGAATTGAGAGGCTAATAATGTATTTTTCCTTAAGAGATTAGGATGATAGTTTACAACAATTTATTTTCAAAAAAACTTTTCAAATTTTACTATAGACGTATCTAAGGCAAACAAGTTTATTTCATTTTACATGTATGTATACAATTTTTCGATTTCCAAAGTTCAGAGAGCGTTCTGTTTGAGATGAGTGAGAAAAGGGTCGACAATGGGTCTACAATGAGATTGGGGTGTGTGCATGCATCAACTGCTCCACCCCATCCCCTTTCTATAGGGTATCCCTAGAAGGAGAGGATCGGATGCATAACAATCTTAAGAAACAGAATAAACACAGAAACAACGTCTAGGTCACAGAAACAACGTCTAGGTCGCAGGAAACAGATACTACTTTAAGACTTGCAGAGTGGAGCTAAGTGTAAAGAAGATCTAGTGGAACTCTCGTAGCTGGGACATAAGCGGGAGTCAAACGGTGTTGTGTGGTGTCGCAGTTAGATACAATTTTCACAACTACAGCCATTATTTCGTCGTTTTAACTACAGCCATTATTTCGTCGTTTTAACTACAGCCATGATTTCGTCGTTATAACTACAGCCATGATTTGTTATAACTGCAGCCATTATTTCGTCGGTTTAACTACAGCCATGATTTGTTATAACTGCAGCCATTATTTCGTCGTTATAACTACAGCCATGATTTGTTATAACTGCAGCCATTATTTCGTCGTTTTAACTACAGCCATGATTTGTTATAACTGCAGCCATTATTTCGTCGTTATAACTACAGCCATGATTTGTTATAACTGCAGCCATTATTTCGTCGTTATAACTACAGACATGATTTGTTATAACTGCAGCCATTATTTCGTCGTTTTAACTACAGCCATTATTTCGTCGTTATAACTACAGACATGATTTGTTATAACTACAGCCATTATTTCGTCGTTTTAACTACAGCCATGATTTGTTATAACTACAGCCATTATTTCGTCGTTATAACTACAGCCATTATTTCGTCATTATAACTACAGCTATTATTTAGTCGTTACAACTACAGCCATTAATTAGTCGTTATAAATACAGCCATTATTTATTCGTTATAAATACAGCCATTATTTAATCGTAATAACTACAGTCATGAGTTTTCATAATTACAGCCATTATATAGTTTTGAAATTTGAAACGGGATTATCAAGATTTTTGGATGACTTAACAGTTTTTAATCTTTCTTCGGAAAGTTATAAGGTAGCTTTAGTTACCAAAACAAATGATTTCTAGCTACGCTCAGGTGTATTTTTAAAGAGATATTACGCATTTAATTAAAACGATAGATGATTAGATTTTTCTTAAGAAAGATAATTATTATTTTAAAATAATTAAAATGTAGAAAGAAATAAGATGTTCGTGCTTATGCAAAAACCATCACAAAAGGAAGAATTGGTGAGGCAGAGAAGTTAACACGTTTATATGTTTTTTACAAACAATTTCACGCAACTATAAAAAAAATTTAAATACAGTTTAAAAAAATAATTAATAAATATATAATCATGTACAGCGAGCAAAATAAATTCTCAGAAAAATTTGGATTCTGTTAATAATCCTCACCCACAATATTTATATATAAAAAAAATAGTCAGTGTTTTTAATTAAGTTGTTGTTTAAATTTTTTCTTTGTCTGTAATTAAGTTGTTTTGATGTAATCTTGTTTAGGTGTAATCGTGTTTAGTTTTGAAATCATGTTTAATTATGTCATTATTTGTAATCATCTTTAACTTTCATTTAATATATTCCTAGTTAAAGTGATTTCGCTAACATAAAGAGTACAATAATTTACATTTAATATACACAAACTCTCTGAAAATAGTTATATTAACTACTTACATGGCTTAGAAACTTTTAAAAACTGAGCTCTGAGCCGCAAAATGAACGATGATCGCAGTGAGCCGCACAGAAGAGCCGACCGTCTAACTACTCAATTGAGATATCACCTCGCCTCTCTCGCGCTGTGAAGAGCGAATTCTCGGACCGGTCAAAAAGTCTGGCCAGCTCTCGTCTCGCCGCAGTCTCGCGTTATTTAACCACCGGGTCACGTGGTGTTCGATACAAGACGTGACGGCGGGGGAGACGCGACTTGCGGGTGTTACGGTTAGAAGGTGGGGGGTGGGGGGGGGGGGTGGGGGGAGGGGAATCAGGGTCGCGGGTGTTGTGGTTAGATGATGTGGGGTGGATGGGCTGGGGGAGGGGGGAATCAGGGTTGAGTGTGTTGTGTTTAGATGGTGTGGGGTGGATGGGGTGGGGGAGGGGGGATCAGGGTCGCGGGTGTTGTGGTTAGATGATGTGGGGTGGATGGGGTGGGGGAGGGGGGGAATCAGGGTCGAGTGTGTTGTGTTTAGATGGTGTGGGGTGGATGGGGTGGGGGAGGGGGGGATCAGGGTAGCGGGTGTTGTGTTTAGATGGTGTGGGGCGGGTGTGGTGGGGTTGAATCAGGGTCGCGGGTGTTGTGATTATATGGTGTGGGGTGGATGGGGTGGGGGAGGGGGGATCAGGGTAGCGGGTGTTGTGTTTAGATGGGGTGGGGCGGGTGTGGTAGGGTTGAATCAGGGTCGCGGGTGTTGTGATTATATGGTGTGGGGTGGATGAGGTGGGGGGGGGGGATCAGGGTCGAGTGTGTTGTGGTTAGATGAGTTGGAATGGGGGGGGGGGGAATCAGTGGAACGGTTAGGGGTGGGGTGGAGTGATAATTGTCGGGTGGGTTGCAGTGAGAAGGGGTTGGTGGAATCATTGGGCGGTTAGAAAGGGTGGGGGTGAGGTGGAAAAGCGGAACAGCTCGAAGCTAGGGGAGGGGTGCATCAGTGCGGCGGTCTGAAGGGGTAGAGGGTGTCGTTGGGGCGGTTATTTGGTATGTGGAGACGATGTATGAGTTGAAGTTTGTTATATAAAGGTGTTACTGAGGAATGCCATTACTAAGTCAGCTTTTAAAAAAAAAAATTATTTTTGATTATCATTGGAAAAATAAAAATTAGCTACATCAAACAGCACATTGTATTAGCTTCACCACATTAAGTTACATGCACGAAATATAACATTAAATTAGATGCACGAAATGCCACATCAAATTAGCTTTACGACATACCACATTAAATTAGATGAACGAAATACCACACTAAATCAGCTTGATGAAAAACCACAACAAATTAGATGCACGAAATACCACATAAAATTAGCTTGATGAAAAACCACATAAAATAGCCTGCATCAAACACCACATTACAATAGCTACATCATTCGTTCATCATTCAGGCTAAACCGTTGCTAACGAATATCTTGGAGTTAAAAAGACACATCAAAGAACTTGTATTAAGTTTTTCTATTTAGAGAGAGGGTGCAAATTTGTTGTTCGAGATCTTCTATATAGTTATGTGTCGTGAAGACATTCAGTTCCATTTACGTAGAATAGCCTTCCAAACCTGACTGTGTATGAGGCAAGTGTGGTCAGCGATTTACCCAGCAGAAATTACTTTTCCGAACAGGAGTTAGGTACCTATCAGAGCTGGGTGGACTCAGGGACGGTCCACTGAATTGAACCCGGATTCGAACTCGAGAGTTGCGGGCTAGTCTAGCTAGGGGGAGAGTAGGATGGAATTAAAAATAAAGAGGAATTAATCCAACGTTGCACTTAAAAAATTTTCAGAACATTTATTTTTTCATTTAAAGATTTAAAACGACTTTAAATTTGGAAAGACAAACCTATACTCAACACAGCTATAAACCTATACTCAACACTGCTATAAACCTATACTCAACAATACTACAAACCTATACTCAACACTGCTAAAAACCTATTCTCAATACTGATATAAACCTATACTCAACTTGGCAAAAACTTATACTAACATTGCAATAAACCTATACTCAACACTGATACAAACCTATTACTCAACACAGCTATAAACTATACCCAACACTGGTATAAACCTATACTCAACACCGCTATAAACCTATACTCAACACTACTATAAACCTATACTCAACACTGTTATAAACCTATACTCAACACTGCTATAAACCTATACTCAACACTGCTATAAACCTATACTCAAGGGAAAAGGGAAATAACCGAGAGAATTTTATACAGTTCTCTATATTACTCTATAATATTAAATTAAATTTTGTAATTTTATATTATTAGGAGTATAGGTGTATTATGTTGTATAACATAATTATTAGCTATTATTTTACACAATACTTTTGTTACTTTAAATGTAAAATTACTTTTAAGATCTATGCAAAATCTTAAACAATGACGTAATTTTACCCTATCATTTTTATAGCTCGATCTAAGGTCACTATTGGGTTTTGATCTTAAACATATTTTGAAAGTAGTAAGTAAATTGCAATGATTTTTTTTTGTCGTTGTGTTGGATTGAAGGGGTTTGAGTTTTAAGTAGAGCTAAAATTTATTTGTGATTAAAGTAAAAATATATTATAAATATTATAAGCAGCATGATTGCTATTTTGAATACAATGAGACACATCAAATCAAACATTATTCCCTTTTTAAACATTTATTTTATGTATTTAAAATAGTATTTTCAGATTTAAAAATAAAATTGTAAGCCCCCCCCCCCCCCCCGAACGAAATGAAATGTATATAATTTATATAGAAAATATATACTTTTAACAGTGTCCGCCCCCCGAAGAAAGTCTACCGCCCCCCCCCCCCCCCGGAGAAAAAAGTCTGGAAGAAACGCTGCCGATGATGAAAACTGTAATGCTAAAGTAGGTGCAAAGTAAATTACGTCTGAGGCAAAAGAAAAATAAAGACAAAAACAGTATATTGCAATAAAGCTAGTTATGTCAAAAGATAATTATATATCGAATGACAAACTCCTTTCAATTACTAGTAATTTTAAAAAAAACATTATAGGGCATTCATTGTTTCAAGGGCTCGATTTATTTAATCAAACAGCTCGAAGGGGCCCTGGGACATTGGGGGCCCTGTGACCTCGGGAGTCCTGGGACATTGGGGGCCCTGTGACTCCGGGAGTCCTGGGACATTGGGAGCCCTGTGACCTCGGGAGTCCTGGGACATTGGGGGCCCAGTGACTTCGGGAGTCCTGCTACATTTGGGGCCCTGTGACCTCGAAGACCCTGCTACATTGGGGGCCCTGTGATCTCGGGAGTTCTGCTACATTGGGGGTCCTGTGACCTCGGGAGCCCTGCTAAATTGGGGGCCCTGTGACTTCGGGAGTCCTGGGACATTGGGGGCCCTCTGACCTCAGGAGTCCTGCTACATTAGGGGACATTGGGGACCCTGTGACCTCGGGAGTCCAGCTACATTGGGGCCCTTGTGACTTTGGGAGTCCTGGGACATTGAGGGCCCTGTGACGTCGGGATTTCATGGGATATTGGGGGCCCTGTGACCTCAGGAGTCCTGCTACATTGTGGGCCCTATGACTTCGGGAGCCCTGGGACATTGGGGGCCCTGTGACTTCGGGAGTCCTGCTAAATTGTGGGCCCTATGACTTCGGGAGTCCTGGGACATTGGGGGCCCTGTGACGTCGGGATTCCTGGGACATTGGGGGCCATGTGACCTCGGGAGTCCTGGGACATTGAGGGTCCTGCGAATTCGGGATTACTGGGAGATTGGAGGCCCTGTGATCTCGGGATTTCTGGGACATTGGGGGCCCTGTGACCTCGGGAGTCCTGCTACATTGGGGGCCCTGTGACCTCGGGAGTCCTGCTACATTGGGGGCCCTGTGACCTCGGGAGTCCTGCTACATTGGGGGCCCTGTGACCTCGGGAATCCTACTACATTGGGGGCCCTTTAACATCGGTAGTCCTGGGACATTGGGGGCCCTGTGACCTCAGGAAATCTGCTACATTTGGGGCCTTTTGACCTCAGGGGCCTTGGACTTCGTCTAACTTGGTTGTTGCGCCACTACACAACATCATCACCAATGTCTTAAGTTTTTTTGCCCTGAACTTGACCCTGTAGATTTTTATAATGCGTTGAATAACATAGCTGAAACAATTTTATCCCGGCAAGAAAAGGCACAAAATAACATACATACGTGAGAGCCTCTAGCAGTTTCTTCCAGGCATCTCTTCGTGGGGGGGGGGGGGGGGGGAAGAACGTCTACTGCCACCCCCCCTCCCATGAAACGAAATAGAGTTCATATTAAAAGTATATACTAGTAGCAGTGTGTGTGTGTCCCCCCCCGCCCCTGCCCGAAAATTTCATGTGCCCCCTTCCAATCCGGAGAAAGAAGTTTGTTTATACCTTGCTTACCTTGTGCGACCATTGTTATACGTGTCTGCTATTATTGTTGGCCAGTTTGACTGTTGACTACTATGATTGTGGCCAGTGTGAAAGTTGGCCAGTATGATTGTTGGCCAATGTTATTGGAGACCGGTGTTCTTTCAAGAATTACCTTTACTGCATCGTTTATTAACGGTAATTAGTTTCATATTTTAAGTTTTTATTTTACCCCTAGTCTAAACAGAATAAGTTAAATTTTAGACATTTGTTAATGCCTTTAGCTACGTAATGCTTGAATTCTTTGTCAAACGTGTAAATACTTAGCTTTGATGATTAACTGCTATCAAAAAATGTAGCAGTACTAGTGCCAATGCTGTTGATACTATGTACCAGGGGTCTCCAAACTTTTCAGTCCGAGGGCCGCATTAACTATCAAATTTCAGTTCGGGGGCCAGTTTATTCCAGGCATGTCTTTGATTTTTTCACCAACAAACTTTTTTTCCGTGGACAAAAAGATCTCCGCGGGCCGGATAAGAGGACCTCGCGGGCCGCATCCGGCCCGCGGGCCGTAGTTTGGAGACCCCTGCTATGTACCAATACTGTTAGTACTGCGTGCCAATGTGCCAATGCTGTTGGTATTACGTGCTAATGCTGTTGGTACTACGTGCTAATGCTGTTAGTACTACGTGCCAATGCTGTTGGTACTACATGCTAATACTGTTGGTACTACGTGCTAATGCTGTTAGTACTACGTGCCAATGCTGTTGGTACTACATGCTAATACTGTTGGTACTACGTGCTAATGCTGTTGGTACTACGTGCTAATGCTGTTGGTACTACGTGCTAATGCTGTTGGTACTACGTGCTAATGATGTTGGTACTAAGTTCCTAAAACTAATTTGTCATTGTTACCTAATAAATGTCTTCCTAAAACTAATTTGTCATTGTTACCTAATTAGAGTCTTCCTAAAACTAATTTGTCATTATTACCTAATTTGTTACTTCTTAAAACTAATTTGTCATTGTTACCTAATTAGAGTCTTCCAAAAACTAATTTGTCATTATTACCTAATTTGTTACTTCTTAAAACTAATTTGTCATTGTTACCTAATTAGAGTCTTCTTAAAACTAATTTGTCATTATTACCTAATTTGTTACTTCTTAAAACTAATTTGTCATTATTACCTAATTTGTTACTTCCTAAAACTAATTTGTCATTGGTACCTAATTAGTGTCCTCCTAAAACTAATTTGTCATTGTTACCTAATTAGTGTCCTCCTAAAACTAATTTGTCATTGTTACCTATTTAGTGTCTTCCTAAAACTAATTTGTCATTGTTACCTAATTAGTGTCTTCTAAAACTACTGAAAAATATGTGAAGGTGATTAAGGATTGCCACTATTTCCGCATTGCAGTCATTTCAAAGCTTGACCTCCAGAACAGGTAAACTCTACATCATTTGCCCTTTCTTAACATATTACATAAGCAACCTACTCTCAATAAAGCAGCCATTTAAGTATTTTACATTTATTGCACTTTTGTTTTTATATATAGATAAATTATAGAGCAGATAAACATAATATTAATGTGATGGATAAGGGTACATAAGCTTAGAAAAAAAAACGTCGTGCATTTTGTTTGCTTACGTCCCTTGAAAATGTTACATTGCAACATTTTACATATAATATTTTGGACTAACAGATTAATTTACGGGTTTATTTTCACAATAATCCCTCCACTTCTCTCGATGTGGAATGTCCACTATTCAGGCGCACTTTTACATCAAAAGTTATGTCTAAAATTTCGTTCAATATTCATTACCGAATTCAGAAATATGGATGAGTTACAGTAAACGACTTTATTAAAAATATATAAAAAATAATAATCATTAAAAAAGTTTAAAAAAACCCACGTTTTCTGATTGAACTAAAAAGTAGAAAATAATGCTATACATCACAATAATGCAAGCGATCACTCTACTATAAGCGATGAAAAACGTGGGGCGCCGAAGTAAAAGTTATATTACTATTGATTAGATAATACTATTGACTTTTATTAGGGAGCTTGTAGAGAGTCAACAGTATTAGAAACTGTAAGAAAATCACGGCGCCCCACGTTTTTTAATGATTATTATTTTCTACTTTTTAGTCTTTGTCTGTTTGTTTGCATTAAAATCTTGCTATCGATTTTATCTTTTCACTTTTTTTTTGGGTAAACGAAGACAACTCGTAAAAAGACAACTCGTAAAAAACGAGAGACCCTTTCTTCTTCGGTCTCAATCGCAAGTGAATGATTGTCAGAGGTTAGTTGATAGCGGTTAGGACGAGGGCTGGTTACTGACTAGAACACATAGATTTGAACCCGTGTCGAGTGGGATAGCAATCGTGTGCCCAACCACTCGACCATATCGTCTCCCCCAAACTGGCCACCAGTGGTAATAGTTACCTCCTGTAAGTTTAAAGTCGGTTCAAACTAAATTATCTGCCCCTAAGCCTGTCGCGACGTGGGATCGTTCGCGTCACTGCGCGCGACAAGAGAGAGGCGAGCTACGCGTCGCTCGTTTTTTTTCTAATGGCTCGCAGAGGAGAATTATATATATATAGATTATATAGCGGTCTAAAATGCTCAATAAAATGTTTCCATTGATCAATTTAGTAATAATAACAATTGAATATTCTATGGTCATCCAAAAGAAAGCTTACCTGAAAATTTCAGCGCGCTAGCTAACTGGGAAGTGCCAGAAATTTCGATCGCAAGATTTGATTGGAAAAACAAACAGAGAAAGCAAGTTAAAGAAAACGTGGGAATATTTAAAGATGGTAATTGTCGAAAATGCAATGTAAGTCTCAATTAACTCACATACTCCACAGCATTTATACACCAGCATCCTATTATATTCATCTACATACACATACTTTTTCCTGTCGCGCTATAAATGCACAGTGCTAACTGGCGTCAGTTTGCTATTAAATGAAAGAAACAAAGAGTATCCAGGAACAAATGCCTTTAATGCTAGTATTTCAGATATATGAGATTGTATTAGCTATGTGTAAGATCAGACATTTTAATTCACTCTATTTAATAGTTAAATTATTCATATTGCAAGAGATTTGTCTCTTGTTGAGCAATGTAGGAGAAATATCAGAAATTTAAAATAAAACGGTTGTGTGTGTGTGTGTTGTTTTATTGTTCTTTTGGTGGTACAATGAAGAACAACAATAAAATTTTCTGCTACACTTAAACATGATAATTTTTGCCGGCGTCTAATTCTGTTGATATAACTTGTTCTGAAATTGAAAGTTTCGTTCCATTTTTATCTGAAATTTGAAATATAAACTGTATTTAATTACAATTATGGTTATCTTTCTGTTGTGTAAAATACTCATTAATTATACACATCTATACCGAGGAATACAATTTATGGCTTCGATGATAAGAAATAGATGCTGAGCTAAATATTTTGAGACCAAAAGTTCGCTATTATTGAATACGAGCCGGCCCGCGGCATAACATACGCCGCTATTTAGTTGTTTCTAATTTTCAATAATTCATAATTTGTGAATTCGACAGTACCAACGCTGACACTGAAAATATTTCTTTAAAACACTATAAGTAGCTCGTAAGGACCATAACCCCCCCCCTTCCTTCCCCCCCTCCCCCCCCCCCCCCCCTACGTTTAAAATCGTTGGCTCTGCTTGTAAACATTTAGAGTGAACACAGCTCACTAAAACCATGTAAGGGTGGGGAGGTAGGGAGAGCGTTTGCAGCTTGTTTTCTAACGGCTCGAAGAAGAGAATTATATATATAGATACTGCTAAACAAAATAAAAATAAGACTTTTCTGCTAAACAAAATAAAAATAAGACCCTTCTGCTAAACAAAATAAAAATAAGACCTTTCTGCTAAACAAAATAAAAATAAGACCTTTCTGCAGACACTGAGCTAGATGCTACATAGACACAGTTAAAATACAATACATAGCTACCTGAAACCTAAATCTCCTCCACTACATAACGAGATACAAACATAGCCATTACAGTGTCAAGTTATTCAACAAAATTTAAAAAGACCTTAGTGTTACAAATATCCCGTGTATTAATGTGGATATTGAAATTAATCTATTTTTTGAATTTGTGAAATCAGTAGCCTCCAGTAAGAAAATCGTGACTTATGTTTTTTAATGAACTTAAGTCCAGAGGCGTAGCCAGGAATCGGTCATGGGAGGGGTTCAAATATTTTTCCATGTGTATAAAATCATATATATATATATATATATATATATATATATATATATATATATATATATATATATATATATATATATATATATATATATATAATATATATATATATATATATATATATATATATATATATATATATATATATATATATATATATATATATATGTATATATAACAACCTCCCCCCCCGCTTGCCTACGCCACTGCTAAAGTCTATAATGTATATTGTTCGAATCTAAACATCATGGCAATTATCAACGCTTATAATTAAATACTGTCGCATGGCACCTCACTTGTATAACAAAGCTCGGCGATTCCATAACCAATAGACCATAAAACAAGACCTTGCAGTAAAAGGAACCTAACAAAGCCTCTCACTACATTTGAAGTTTATGGATATGAACTGTAATTTAAAATAAAAAGGATTCTTTAATACTTATCCTGCAGACATTCCTAAAATATGGAAATAAACAACAGCTCACTTACGCTTATTTAAGCTCGTTGGTATGCTATAGATGTGTAACATAAAATTCCAATTTGACTGCCACATTCTATCATTACCATTCCCGCACCCGTCAACTTCTGGCAACATTTACTGATGCACTCGATACTGTCAGAGCACGCGGTTTCTGGAATAGCAGAAAGTATTCTTTCATCTAATTCTATGTCGTTAATTGTATTATTGGAAGAGGATTTCTCCACCACATTTAAGTATCACGTGTCAACATGTCCCGTGGCACACTGAACCCGGCGTCAGCCTGCTTTTCTTTCTCATTTAGGTTTTTTTTTCTTTAATAAACTTTTCAAGCCAAGAACAAACTAAAAAAAATTAATTTGTTTGAGTTTGGAGTTTTTTTCAGCTAGATAGGTTTCTGTCCCGAGCTTCAGAACCTCACCCCCCCCCCCCGGGGGTTCGAAATCAGGACGTTTTGGTTGAATTACCCTATCAGCCCGACTAAGCCGAGCCGTAAGCGGTTGTCTAATTTATTGTATATGATTGCATTCAGAGTTAACAGTATAGTGTATACAATATTTATCATTATGTGTTTATGTAATAAATTAAGCCGAAGACAAAACTATATTATCTAGTAATTTATATTATTAGAAAATAGCAATATAATTAGAGAAATCCAAAATGTGATAATAATGCTTCTGGAGCAGGGGATGTCCTAAAAATTTGAAACTTAAACAAAATATCTATTGACGTAAAAACAGGTGAAAACTTTGTTTAGAACAAATGTTTTTTTAGCGCAATTTCCAGTCTGGAGAATTGCGTTTATTAACTCGTCATTTCTGGGAATGGATGGATGAATGAATGAATGTATGGATGTATGTGTGTCCGCAGCTTTAAGTCGTACCTCCTCCTCAGCGAAGAAATATCGAGGACTAGTTTCAAAAGCAATTATGTTAAGCAAGTTACGAGGATGAACATAGGCCAAAAAAATCCGGGTTTCTTTCATGGATTTCCCGGAAAAGCCAAAAACCTCGAAAAAATGCAGTTTTTGGCCCATATCTCGGCAACCAGACCACTTAGCGACTTGAAACATGTACCAATCGATTCCTGCTGCCATAATTTAGAACAATATTGCCGAAGAAAGTTTTCAAAAATACCCTTTCGTTCGGTCACAAATTTTTTTTTGAATTAATTAAAATTTGGACCGAATTAGTAGGCATTTTTATCCAACCACACCACACGCGTCATCACGTTCAATAGCTGCGCCATCACGTTCAATGGCTGCGAAATCACATTCGGTAGCTAGGCGCGCAATGGTTTTTAGTCATGTAACTCTATTGTAAATAAAACATGTAAAATACTGAAATTTTTTAAAAATAAAACACGTTTTAATAACTAACCAATGGTTTACTAACCCTGCTCTTGATTTACGCTACGACAGAGCTATTTTTAGATAACATAAGGAAATTGCGCTTAAATGTCAATAGACTTTTTAATTAACTTGTTTTAAATTTATAAATATAAATATTGAATGATGGAGCTAGAAAATCAAATTAATTATTCCCAGAGCCAGTTGAAATAAAAATTACTATCAAGAGGCAAATGTTGAATTCCCAAAAAAGATGCAGACGGGAATTATTACAACAGAACTAAATACTAAGTTTGAAAACCTTCGAGTTGGTGCTTAAATTTATTATGCGTGTCAGTTCTTTTATAAAAATACGAGTTGGTGCTTACATATGCTTGTCAGTTCTTTAATAAAAATACCAAATCTAATAAAAGCATTGGGTGTTACAAATATAAATGTGTGTACTCATTGATCTGTTTTCTAGACTCAAGGTCCACAACCCACCGTAGCTTTGAAGCTAATATTGATACATTTTAAAATTATTAGTTGTATTCTGATAGTTTGAAATATTATTATTTATAGCTATAACGAGCAGAATTGCAACACATGTCGTATTTAAACTGAGTAATGATTTGACTTTCTGTCGATACCCTTCGCCCCACATTCAAAGAGAGACAACTCACCATCGCTTCTCAAATTGCCTGGTTGCAATAGATAGGGGCTCACATCAAAACAGATGCCTGTCACATCTCTAGAGAAGTGTATAACGCTCGAATTCACCTGGCACTTGTCATTCTGATTACAGCACCTTGATGAAGATTTGGAGCATTCCTGACCTGTCTCTATACACTGTAAGATTAAGAGAGGGGTTAGTGGAGACTTCATGGAAAGTTTGGGTCCGCTATTGTTGTTTATAAGATTAGTTCATTTAGTCTGGGTATGTTATTTGTGATTTACTCTCAGTTATATGTGTGAGCGGGTGAATGTATTATTTGTATTATTTTTATTTTTGTGTGTGAATTGGTGCGTGAATGCTCTACCGGACATCGGCTACAGCGTTTCTCTTCCGGTCGAGTGGGGATTAAAGGCCGACTGACCGCTATGGTCTTTCTGTCTTTTGACCCGGGTCGAGAATGTAGGTCTTAGTTTTTTTTTACATTAATTTATGTTTGGGACATGAAAGCGGCTGGTACACACGTAATGTGTTCTTTTTGGTGATTTAAAATATATGTTGGTATTTTCTGAATCCGTGGCGGTGTTGTAATTTTAGGCCACGTGGTTTAGTTATATGTTATATATATAAATATATATATATATATATATATATATATATATATATATATATATATATATATATATATATATATATATATATATATATAATATAGGAGTGTGAGTCCATGGGAGGGGTTATAACCCCCCCTAACCCTTGCTTACGCCACTGGATGTAGCTATAGTGGTCCCCCCCTGACGGGGCTTACACATATAAGCAATAGACAATACAATTGTACGGACAGACTGAAGGAAAGAATGACGAACAGATGGATAGACGGGGAAGACAGAGAATCGTTTGCCGACTTACTGCCAACACCTGAACGCCCATCACCATCATCAACACCGCTAATGTGATGGCTATCACAACTCTGAACATGCTTGATATGCTGAAATATATGTTGTTGTTAGAGCTACATTTTACTTTCTCGTATATACGAAGTATAGAGAAAGTCTTGTAATCGTGCAAAAAAAATGGAGATTATTGCAAATCTTGACGTTTTACGCCGCACTGATACGGAAAAACATAATTTTCCAATCTTGTCCGTATGTCTGTGTGCCTGTGTGTCTGTGTGTCTGTGTGTGTGTGTGTGTGTGTGTGTGTGTGTGTTAACACGATAACTTGAGTACAGTTTCAGCTAGGTTGATAAAATTTCATATATAAGTATTTTATCAAAATCGTAGATCCTGATCAACTTTTGAGCGATTTCCGATAAACGGAAGTGATACTTTTTATACTTTGAATTTTTCAAAAGCCTATAACTTGAGTACTATTTCAGATAGATAAATGAAATTTCACACGTAAGTAAAAGATCTAATTCAACATAAATATACCCGAGTTCCCATCCCCTATTGTTTTATATAAAAATATTCGAGAAAGTTAAGGGGAGATCACTCCCGGTTTATTTACAAACTTAATCAACATTGTGTCACAATATTTATAATTGCTGCCATGTGTGTCTAGAATTGATTTAGCTGCAACCCTTTATGTTTATACACGAATGTACATTATAAAAAATAAAATTAATTGCATTATATGAATATTTATGTTAAAAAAAACAAAGACATTTTTTTTACTAAGAATCGTCTTTTATTTTTAGACATAAAGCAAGTTAAGATCTTGTTTAATTATCTCATTCGAAAAGCTTGACATTTTCATTGGTCTACAGTAATCATTAAACGTGATTTAGATCTATTAAGTCGCCAAGATCGCATTCATTTGAGCAAAATTAAATGCTCACATTATCACTAGGAACCTTGTTCGAGAAACAGATTTATATCGGGTGAGCTCAAAGGACTTTTCGCTTGTAGCAGCTCTAGCTAGCCAACACCACTAGCGAGTGGGTTATGAGCTACAGCACTTTTGCTAGATAACGTTCGACGATAACCATATCGCAGGTCTATAAATAACCACATCCTAACTAGACATTTCTAATAACCCCAACCCAGTGGCGTAGTGAGGGGGGGGGGGTGCGCACCGCACCGGGTGACACCATTTAGGGGGTGACACCAAGGTAAAATAAACAAAACATATACAGAAAAATGATAATTTCACTTAATTAAATGAGTAATTAGAGTGAATTAACTAGTCTTTTAAGAGTAAAGTGGACAAATCCCGACGCGGGTGGTGGGGGGGGGGGGGGTGACACCATGACGTAAAATTATTGCTAATGGTAAAGAAAACATGCAACATCCAGCTGAATTTATAACCGAATATGGATACAAATCGTTAGTATTATCTAAGCACAGTTTAAAGCAATCATCGTGGGGGGGGGGGGGGGGAAGAGGGGGGATGGGGAGAGTTACATCAACAACTCAACGTTGCAATATATATATGCCTGAGGAAAACGGTTTGGTTGAGAATCGGAATAAGCTATATGTTAAACCATGTGTGTGGGGGGGGGGTGTAAAAAACTAAATACATTCAGCAGAAAAAAAATAATTATACACATGCGTATACACATACTTACACGTGTATATGGAATATATATATATGTATATTTATATATATATATATATATATATATATATATATATATATATATATATCGATATACATTTTTTATTCTTACGGTGGCGGGGGGGTGACATCATTAGGTGCCGCACCTGGTGACACCCGACCTCGCAACGCCACTGCCCCAACCCCTAAATAGTGGCATGTCTGTATCTAGACCTGCTGAAGGGTGATTAGCACAACAATGTTCACAACATTACAGTTTGTCTGATGTTTTAAGATTATTTATTACGCGCCGACTCGCGACGCAGCATACGCCGCTATTTAGTTGTTTTATTTTCTACTTTTCAGTAATTCATAATTTGTGAATTCGACATTCTGGTTTGGCTAAAATGTAGATAGATATGTAAAATGCTTGCCTACTCACCTGTACTTCAATTTACGATGTGAGGATGAGACACAAATGCTCAGTGTCTTACACGGGAGCAGACAATCGAACACACAACGGCTATATAGAGCATAATCTGACGTACACCAGTTACATTAGTTGATTGTCGGTTAAACCAGCGGTTCACGTGGTCTACATAGAAACATTCTCCGCCCACAATACTCGAGGAGAACTATAGGGATAAAGCGTCATTTGATCGAGCTGTACAGGGGGAAGAGAGCATGTGTTACATGACACAGTTGATAGTTGACAAAGTTGATACTTATACGGGGTGACCCGCGACGTAGCATACGCCGCTATTTAGTTGTTTTACTTTCTATTTTTCAGTAAATTATAATTTGTGAATTCGACACTACCAATACTGTGACTGAAAATATTTTGCTTTAAAACACTATCGGTAGCTCGTGAAAGACGGTTATCCTCACCCTCACTTTCTACTCCCCCCCCCCCCCTCCCGCCCCCTGTGAAAGCAACCGTCCGTGACGACAATGAAAATATCAACCAGAACTTGTTACTACCTCACTTAGCTTCAAATCGCTTAAAAACTAAATTATCTGCCCCTAATAGCCGTCACTAATTCGACCCGGCTCTTCGATTGTAAACATTTTTAGTGTTAACCACAGCTCACCAAACTGGTGGGGTGGTAGCTATACGCCTAGAGAGCGGGGTATTAACGGCGTGCGTTTACGTGGTGTCTCGCATGGTCTCCATGAAGAGAATTATATATATATAGATACAGACAGCTCAGGCGACACGTCTTATCTCTGAACCTGCCTTTCCTAAACTTCCGCACAAGTACACAGTAAAGAGACTGAACGTTCAAGGGACGTGACCATGATACGTGACAGGTTGCGTAACAATCGTTAACAAGACATAACTTAACAATATGCTACCATGAGTGAAAGAATTCTTCCTCGGGCACGCCACTTGTGATAGTGTTATAAGCTATCCCATACTAATAAAATGTAGTCTATGCAGAGGCGTATCGACCCTTCCCGGCGCCCGGGGACAAACTTTTTTATTTGCACCCCCCTCAAGATTTCGATTTGCACCCCCACCCCCTCAAGATTTTGATATGCACCCCCCTCAAACTTTCAATTTGCACCCCCTCAATCTTTCAATTTATTTTTCAAACCCATTTTGGCGCCCCCTAAGGTCGGCGCCCGGGGACATATGTACCCCAGCCCCCCCCCCCTCGCTACGCTACTGAGTCTATGTCCTATCCTAGCTAGAAACTGCTAATAACTAGACCATTTAAGGATTGACATCCCAACTAAGTAAAAAGAAAATGTAACATAGCATCATCTCTGTACACATAGAATAAATAAAGATTTTAAACAGTATTATCGACTACCCCTATCAATCTATATTTTACTAAAACTTGAGTTGTTTAAAAGTTTGTATATTAATGTTTGTTTTTGTTTTGTTACTTTCTCGTATACAGAGTATATAGGAAGTATTGAAATCGTGCACAAAAATCACTTGAAATTTATACTAGTGCGGAATATTAGTGTTAGTACTTTATAAATTCATCCCTTTTTTTTGAGAAATCGGAAATAACGTAAATTACTACTTCCGTTCAACGGAAGCTACTCAAAATTTGACAGAAGGCAGAGAATTCGACAACATTCGTTTCCGCACCGTGTGACACACGACCTGGCGACGCCACTGAGTGACAATTTCGTTGACTGACTGATTGTATAATGAATCAAACTAGAGTAAACAAACTAGAGGAAACAAACTAGAGGAAAAAAACTAGAAATTAACGGTGGTTTAATGATAGTGACACCACCCATGACTTACTGATTAGAATCAGCAGCGATAAATTGCGTTTTACCTTCTAAGCCAATGTGGAATTAAAATGCATTGTAAAAACTAAAAACTCACTCTGAATTTTTAGCTAAATGTGAATAATGGACGGCTGATACAGATAGATTAATTAGTGACGTAGTGGAAGGTCGTTTCAGCTACATTGATTGGTGAGGTAGTGGACGGCCGTTAGATTCATTAGTGAAGGAGATTAATTAGTGAGCTTACTACGTCAGAATTAAAATATATTAATTTAGGTAGGCCTACATACAATTTTAAGCAAACAATGGGCAGATAATTAATTAAATCTTGTCTGTTTTTAAATGTTCAGTGATTTTTACAAGCTTTTATTTAACTCACTTCCTCTGTCTGTCGACAGTCTGTCGTCAGTCGTCAGTCTAGATCGAAACGCTGGAGTGAAAATTCGGTCACTTCTAATTGACCGATACGATTCACATTTGACACGTGGGTCAAGACATGAAGACAATGCAATCTGAAATTAAATTTGACTTAATTGGATGCCTAATTAATTTTTTATGAATTAATTAAAATTTGGACCGAATTAGTAGGCATGTCTATCCAACCACACCACTCGCGTCATCACGTTCAATAGCTGCGCCATCACGTTCAATGGCTGCGCCATCACGTTCAGTAGGCGCGCAATGGTTTAAAGTCATGTAACTCTATTGTAAAGAAACATGTAAAGTACTGAAAAAAAAATTCATAAAAAACGTTTTAATAACAAGCTTTTAATACTTTTATGTAATAATGCACTAAAAAGTAGAAAATAAATTATAGACTACTATTTAAATAACTAGAAAGAAAAGCGTGGGTGTCTTCCTTAACATTACTAAAGGTATCCAATAGATACTAAAGTGACCCACGCTTTTCTTTATAGTTATTTAAATAGTAGTCTATAATTTATTTTCTACTTTTTAGTGCATTATTACATAAAAGCTTGTTATTAAAACGTTTTTTATGAATTTCTTTAGGTGATTTTGTTTGTTAATTAAAAAAACAAACATTGCTTTTACCTTTCCATGAACATTTTAACTAGTATAAAGAGAATACCATATACAAATTTAATTTATTATAGTCTGTAAAGAAATTGTGGGTCCCAAACATAATCAAGGTCCTCTGGGCTGCTGCTTTATTAGCCCCTCCCCCCACTTTAACCCCTCACTGGCTGATGACGTGTGCTCGTTTGTACTTGTGTTTGATTGCAAGTGTGTTTGTGGGAGTAGGTTTGTGATTGCGGTATGTGTGTGTTTGTGTGTGTTTGAATTTGCTCGTGAATCAGTTGAATCAAGTATGAATATTTTATTCGCCAGAAAAATATTTGCTTCTGTATTTAATCAAACAGGGATTAGACAGGAAACTCATTTTGTTGTAAGTAAAGCTCAGTCTATATAAGACTATAAATCCTATTGCTTTAATTACACAGGAATGCAGATTATTTCATTTGTATCACAAACTGGATTCAAAGGGAACACCTTAACATAACATTCTTACTAACAATAAACTGGTTTATATTTAATGCTCACTTGCTCATTAGCAATGTAGCTATAAGCCAACCAGAGTTGAGTTATGAAAAATATTGAAATTTATTAATAACACTGCACTGGGATTTGTTAAATAATGTTACATTAGAACAAAAATGGACGTTTTACTGATATTGCGCAACTTACAAAACAAATATTATTTTCAAAGATTTACCTGCAACACTAACTATTACAAAACTGATAAATCACTGGTTTAATACTTCGCTAAATTTTAAGATAGTTTGGTCTTTATCTATCTCTCCGTATGCCGAGGTCACAGAAACAAGTGAGCTCTACTTCACTTGCCCTATAGACCGTCAGGTTTGAAAAGGGAACTTTACTTTTTACTTTTGGTCTTTATTTACTTGATAACCTACATACAAAAGTCATTTACTACGACACTTGTTAAAATAGCTATAACAGCCGTCCGTTTCGTCACTTGTTAAAATATCTATAACAGGCGTCCATTTCGTCACTCGTTAAAATAGCTATAAAAGCCGTCCATTTCGTCACTCGTTAAAATAGCTATAAAAGCCGTCCATTTCGTCACTCGTTAAAATAGCTATAACAGCCGTCCACTAATCCTACAGTGAACCTAGTTGTTAAGACCGGTCCATTACGGCACTTTCAAAACTAGAAATATCGGCCGTCTACTACGTCACTGTTAAAGCTAGCAATGTCGGCCGTCTACTACTCACTAATGAACCTGAACTAATAAAAGATTGTAAAAGTACACAATTAAAACAAAATATCGTATTTTTTCATACTTTGTGCTAAACTAAGACAGAAATAAAATTGAGGAGAAGAATTCCAGCAATTGCCAAATAAATTTAGAATTTCAAAATCAATATAATCTATCTATATATATAATTCTCTTCATAGTGACCATAGAAGACACTACGCAATTTAGCCACCACCCTCATCCTAACCTGTCAGGTGAGCTGTGGTTCATCCCGAATGTTTACAATCGTATAATTCTCTTCATGGGGACCACGCGGGACACCACCAAGACGTAAGCGCGCCTCTCAGTCCCATCTCTTCGTTTCTAGGCATATCGCTACCACCCCACCACCACTGGTCTGATGAGGTGTGGTTCACGCCCAATGTTTACAATCGTAGAGCCGGGTCCATTACTGAAGGCTGTTAGGGGCAGATAATTTAGTTTAAAACTATTTTAAACTTATGGGAGGTAACTAAGAGGAGGCTGCTTTCACGGAGGGCGTGGTAGAGGTTGGGAGAAAGGAAGGGGGGTGGGGGGTGTTATCGTTTCATCGAGCTACTTATAGTGTTTAAAGCAAATATTTTCGGTGGCAGCATTGGTAGTGTCGAATTGACAAATTAGGAATCACTGAAAAATAGAAAAATGAATCAACTAAATAGCGGCGTACGGGTTGGCTCGTTTATTATAAGGACGTACATTATATATTGTTAGTACTTGAGTGATCTCCTATTTCCATTTCAGAATTGAGGTTTTTTTCTTGCAATTAAAACATCGAAATGCAATACATTAATTCAAAGACGGCCAACTTGGGTTTTTGTTTTACCGAAAAATTGTTTTTAAATATATTTCTTCATTGATTTTTATCAGAATGATAATAGTATAGTAATTGTCTACATTCATCAACATCATCTTTTACTGTCGATACCCAGGGTAAATGGGGAGAAAGCTATGACCAATACATTTATAAACTCAATAAAGCGTGGGTCTCTTCCTAAATATTAGTAAAGGTATCCGGCTTTACTAACATCACTGAAAAGAAGAAGAAATGCGTACTGTACAAAGGAGAAAATCTCATCAAACGCTGCATTTTGAAGATGGTAAAGTTAATTCTTCAGGATTCCAGTGCAGTAAAGATGCAACAAATATCTCTGCCTAATAATACTATTCAGCGGCTTATAGCAGACATGTCGGTAAATGTTAAATAACACATTTTTATTGAAATCAAGCTTTCACCATTGTTTGCTTTTCAAGCTGATGAACCAACAGACGTGAGTTCGTGTTCGCAGTTGCTTATCTTTGTCTACAGTGGCGTAGGCAAGGGGGGGTTAGGTGGGGTTATAACCCCTCCCATGGACCCCACCTCTCTCTCTCTCTCTCTCTCTCTCTCTCTCTCTCTCTCTCTCTCTCTCGCTGCACCCCATGCGAATGGCTATCTCTGTATCTGTCAATGATCGGATCACTGAGTAACTAATAGATATACGGTCACTTCCTGTGTGGATCAGCCGACAAACTCAATGATAATTGCTCCGACTTTTGAATCTATAAATAGAATAACAAAAGGAAGGAAACGAAATTTTAAACTGATTTCCGCCATTACAAAAATAACATGAAACCTACAGTTCACGACACATCGCATAGGAATTTAAAATAAATATTAGGCCTATAGGTTTAATACATATTTCTTAGAATATAGAAATTTAGATCTAGTGTTCTGGTTAGTTGTTATTTCATGTTTATTAGAATATAGTCTAGATTCTAGAATCTAATCATACGGCTGCATAAAAAGAAAACCCATCTGCCATCTAGATCTAGAGAAGCGGAGGTAAGAAGGTTAAATTGGTAATTTACATGATTTTTATTGTAGTTTCACTGTTTGTTAGGCCCAATTATTAAATCTTTAGATCAGAGGTCCAGCTTGATCATGTGTGGTATCTATTGTGGTGCATTGGAATGAAAAGCCCACATACTTAAATATAGAATCTAGTAGGCCTATACTATACTATAACTGTACTGCCCTATACTTTAAATTTGTTACCACAAGAAAAAAGCCTATTTACTATTATTAGTTATAATTAAATTAAATTGAAATATTTGTTTATCTTTATAGTTTATAGTGAATGCATGCTAATGAGCATTATTCAAGCTGCTGTTATATTTAGGCTTATAGGCCTATGTACTCTATAGCTTAGGCTATATACTATAGACTATATAATATATACCAATATTGTGCATAAAACTTAAAGCATGTAAGCATACACAATAATAATTATCATTAGACCTATAGTAACTAAGACTCATACTATTTAGTACTACTTTAATACTACCTTTAAATTATTAGGCATAATGAAATAATGATTAATAATTTCAGTGTTTTCCGCACTCAAGAGGAAGGAGGTTGCAGGGAACTTAGAGACTAATCTTTGCCAACATACTGGATTTCTGGTGATGACAATAGGAGCCAATAGTATGCGGCTCAGTTAATACTAAAAACAATTGATTTTAGTAATTAGTGGTAAGCGCTTTTTTAAAATAATATATTATAACATGGTATCGCAAAGGTTCAGGTTGTCCGATAAATGATAATTAGAGTCAGGTTTAGGACTATAGTTTAATGCTTGGTTAGTAATATGCATCAAGTTGGGAAAGACATAGAAATGGAAATACATAGAATTTAATGTGTTCATTCGCAAAAGTTACTATTTAAAAAATTTTAGGCCTGCTATTTATTGCTGAATAATAAAATCACTATACTTATCCACTATATTATGTTTAAATAAAGTGAGTTTAGATCAGTCGAGTAAATAAATTTAATAGCAAGACATAACTAAAATTTACAATGAATATATATATATATATATATATATATATATATATATATATATATATATATATTGCTATTTTATAAAAGTATGTAAATCACAGAACAAACATTACTTTGTATTTTGTCTACAACTTAACAAAAATGCTACTACTTTGATGGATTGCACTACATAGGGGTTAGCTTTAATTTAATAATTTGTGAGATATTCTTGCTAATCTATGTGTAAATTGCTTTTCAGGACTATGAGTGTGTGTTTGGTCATCCAGATTTCATAACTACAACTGATGTTCAATTACAAGGGATATTAATCAGTCTCCGTGGACTATACACTGTGCCTAGTTTCATCCTCAGGTAACTGTACTATAGGCATAACCCATTTTTAAAGTAATTATTATAGCAAGAGATAGCATTATATGTTAAAATAAATATAATGGATTTTAATCCAAAATATTTTATTAATTATTGTCTTTTCTTAAATTCTAATAAATCAGTGAGTTGTACAACATAGAGGGTATTATATTTGAATGATAATTGAAACACATATTGTTATAGAGCTCAAAACTATGTACTTATCTAATATAATTAATATACTGAAACAGTTTTATTGAAGCATATTATTTCATATTTTACCACACAGAGACTGATGTGTAAGCTTAAAGTAAAGACATCAAATCAAAGTATCAGCTATCAAGAGGGTAAATATTGATAGTCTACTTCATTAATCTTCAATATGAATGAACACAATTTTAAATCTATAATATTTGCTGATAATGTTTGTTTCTTGTTATTCATCATGTTCAGTGCTTTATCTTTTCAAAGTAATTAGTTATAGTAAAGAAATAGTAGAGATAGTAATATAAATTTGTAATGTATTTCTCTTGCTAGTTCCACAAAAGAATATTTCTAAATATTTTGTCTTTATTTCATTTACAGAAGAACATTCAAAATCATATTGTGATACACAAATCAAGCAAGTCTATAACCAGCAATATGATACAGGCCAAGAAAAAGCTGGATATTTGATTGGAAGGGTGGCACAAAAAAGATGGGTTATCACTAGGGAAACAAGCTCGGAATACAGTTCACTGTTGGGACAGCAAGCCAAATACTTCTAAACTTATTTGAATCATTTTTGCTGTTTATTATAATTCATCCAATTGTCTTATTAAATATATAAATTTATATATATACACAATTCCTAATATAGAATTTCTAAAAATGTTTTATTATAATATTTAAAAATGAAACAGACATGTTCCCAGAACACAGCCACATAATGTCAACATGTTCCCAGAACACAGCCACATAATGTCAACATGTTCCCAGAACACAGCCACATAATGTCAACATGTTCCCAGAACACACAAAATGGCAACATGTTCCCAGAACACACAAAATGGCAACATGTTCCCAGAACACACAAAATGGCAACATGTTCCCAGAACACAGCCAAATAATGTCAACATGTTCCATGAACTCACAAAATGGCAACATGTTCCCAGAGCTCACAAAATGTCATTATGTGCCCAGAACACACAAAATTGCAACATGTTCCCAGAGCTCACAAAATGTCATTATGTGCCCAGAACACACAAAATGGCAACATGTTCCCAGAACACACAAAATGGCATTATGTGCCCAGAACACACAAAATGACAACATGTTCCCAGAACACACAAAATGTCATTATGTGCCCAGAACACACAAAATGGCAACATGTTCCCAGAACACACAAAATGGCAACATGTTCCCAGAACACACAAAATGGCAACATGTGCCGAGAACACACAAAATGACAACATGTGCCGAGAACAATGCCCCTTACAGATGACATGTTCCCAGAACACAGCCCGTAGTTGGCCTGCCATAAAAATGGCATTATGTGCCCAGAACACACAAAATGACAACATGTTCCCAGAACACACAAAATGTCATTATGTGCCCAGAACACACAAAATGGCAACATGTTCCCAGAACACACAAAATGGCAACATGTTCCCAGAACACACAAAATGGCAACATGTGCCGAGAACACACAAAATGACAACATGTGCCGAGAACAATGCCCCTTACAGATGACATGTTCCCAGAACACAGCCCGTAGTTGGCCTGCCATAAAAAGTTAACAATACTTCACTTTTTCCTAAACAATTTTACAAGCAGGTAAGAAAGCCATAAATCTTTACTGTGGTGGATATAGCCAATAAAAGTAGGGTAACCTTCACTATATGCAATTTGTAGTTTTCAATGCCTGTCCCATGCATATTATTTAGCCTAGTGTTTTGGGCCTTGCTTCATTTACTCAATAAATTATATAGGCATGAGAATTTTCATTTTAATCTGCAAAAGCTACATTCTGTAGATTATTATTTTCAAACTACATCATATATTTTTCTCTTCTCTGATAAAAAATATTCCTCATATTGTTTGTGTCAAGTATTTTATTTTTATCTATGCAATACTATATTCCTATTTTATAATAATTACTTAGATCTATATACAATTTCTTTTGAAAACTGTTCTTTATTGATTTGTATCATTTTCTTTATTTCTGAAAAATAAAACTTTGTTTGGGAATCATTTTTTTTTTGTTTCTGTACAAATTAATAAACATAAATACCTACTAGGCTTAATATCCAGCAACATTAAACAATTAAGTAGGGCCTATTGTTAGTAATGGTAAATTTTATACTAATTAATGTGATTTCTCCTGGCCACCTTGTTCTGAATACCTTCAACTGTGTCAATGTTGCTACCAACTCCAATAATTAAAACTGAAGTCATTTACTATGAAGAAAACTTGGGTGTAATCCAAATCCACCCAGTTGCCGGGGGCAAGGTACCAAACATGATGTCCAGTAGAGGATTAAGAAAGTATCATTATTAAATCACTATTAAACCCCTCCTCGCCTACGCCATTGCTTGTACGCATATGGAAGTTATCGGAATTTACTGTATTGCTTATAAGTGGAAAATGCGAAAAAGACACGTTTAACATTACTGGTTTGAAGAATAACATTCATGTTAGCCGAAACAGGTGTATTCTAAAGTTGTTTAAATTCATTTTATTGTTCATTACGATTATGTTGTCGTAAAATATAGGCCTATTTAAAAAAAAAGCATAACTAAAAAGTGTTTTAACGCATTTTCTTCTTACAAAAGCCTCACATGCATGATATCATTAACATTACGGCAAACCAAACCCTTGAAGAAGCCCCATCAACCATTCAATTATTACGATGGGCAACAAATAAAACGCCCGCATCAAGGTACAGTCTTTATGCTATCGACATTAGCTCAACCCCGGCAACTAACGTGTCCCTAAACCAAGAATTGAAATCTTGACCCATTATTCTGATTAATTAGTGGTTAAACATCTTTAGGCATCTGAAAACGTCAGTTTTTAATCTAGTGTACTCAAAAAGGAACAACATAAAGCTTTATGTCGCCTTAAAAACCCAATCCCATGTTACGCAAGGCGTCGATAGAGAAAGAATAAGGCTTTGAGTCAGAACAGGCAAGGGCTTAGATAACTGCCAAAATACCTAATCTGTAGACCTCACAAGTCTAGACGATATATTTGTGCCTCTGTTTTTAGACTTTCAGAACAAATACATGTGATGTGGTCAGTAGGCACATAAAAGAGAAAAGTAGTTTTAATCTAGACACTTCAAACATTTCTGAAGGACCAAATTTGAACTTTAGGCCGTGGTGTCAATGCCAAAGTTTAGCGTCGTCCGCAAAGATAAGCTATCGTTATATCATCTCTATGCCCATATTGTGACAGATATTTACAAATGTGTCTAATATAGGACAGAATACATTGCTACTCAACAGAGATAAGCGCAATCACTTGTCCACGACTTAAGAAACCACTGTACTGCAAAACCCACCTAAATGGAAAATGTCTTAGATCTGTATTTTAATACAAATGTGTACCTCGTCGCGAGTTAGGACGTGTAGGTAGTCTGTTACCAGTGTTTCTTCCAGACTTTTTTCTCCGGGGGGGGCACTTAAAATCTTCGGGGGGGGGGGGCGGTAAACTTTCTTCGGTGGGGGCGGACACTGTTAAAAGTATATATTTTCTATATAAATTATATAAATTTCATTTCGTTCGGGGGGGTGGTAAAAATTTTTCGGGGGGGCTTAGCCCCCCCGAAGAGATGCCTGGAAGAAACTGTCTGTTACTACTCTATATCTAAAAACAATAAAAAGATAACGTGAATTTTACTTGTTCGATTTCTTGGTTAACTGTATTTGTTGCATCTTGTTCAATTTTGTTAATATTGATTAACCTAAAGGGTTCAAATGTAACAAAGAAAATTGTGACTAAGTTTCCGGGTGCGGGTATGTATATATCTATTTATATTTATAGAAATGAAAGTATGTTTATCTGTTTGTCCTATATGAATTACTACATCTTTTTCATCGGATCGCCATAAAACTTTATGAACAGAGTTTTTTCCAGGAATCTATTCGGGAGTGGGGGTGGGGGGGGGGGAGCAGAGCCCCCACCCCCCCCACCCCCCGAAGAAAGTCTATCGACCCCCATCACCCCCGAACAAAACGGAATTTATATAGAAAAAATATATACTTTTAACAATGTCCGCACGCCCCCCCCCCCGGGAAAGATTTCGCCAGGGCGGCGCCCTAGCAGGAAGCAGAGGCGTAGCAACCTATTCCGGCGCCCGGGGCGAACTATCAATGTTGTGCCAACCCTATTCAAACGCTGGCAAAAAGGCGCCCATCCCTACATACACTCCCCTATATAAAATAATTGAGGATATCAGTCATGTATAAATCTGTTTTCTTAAATTTTACTGAAGAATGAGGATTTTTTAAAAATTGTCTACCCCTTTTGGCGCCCCATTCGATCTGGGGTCTCTGACAGGAAGCAATGCAATTTTTCTCCATAAAAATAAAAGCCAGATGCAATTTGACACTGTTCGTACGAGAGTCATAAAATTTTGGGGAGTTGGTGAAAAGGGTTTCGAGAAAGAAAACAATTCTTGAGTGTGGCACCCTGGGAGGGTTCGATTTTTCTCATTATACGATTATGAGCCCAGAATCCAGAGGGGAATCCAGAGGGGCTATCTCATCAATTGCGGTCATAGGTAATACTAGATTCAGCAGAGGCGTAGCGAGGGGGCCGGGGGTACATATGTCCCCGGGCGCCAACCCTAGGGGGCGCCAAAATGGGTGGGAAAAATTTTAAAGCTCATTTTAGCTGCAGTTTTGCATTATAAATATAAAAAAAATACGGGGGGGGGGGGGGGACGCCAAATTGAAAGTTTGTCCCCGGCGGGAGGGGGGGGGCGCCAAATTGAAAATTTTTCCCCAGGCGCCAGGAATGGTGCTACGCCTCTGAGATTCAATGATAAACTACACCAGGTTCAACCGCCAGCTCCCCGGCGGTTGAATGACCCAGAGCGGCCAAGACCCACCTCGGGCGACACTACGGTTTAGATGGGTTACTATAAATGTTCACTAAGTAGAATAATGAGCGCGCGCCGGCGCCCTGGCAGTTGGCGACAGCGAGCGCTCCGGGCTCTACCGAGAGTACCTCTTTAAAGAGCACCCTACAATAGGGACACGGTGGCACACGACATTTTATAATTAAACCGAATTAGGGGCGCCCCTGCGGAAGTATAACCAGTGGCTCCCTGGAGCACCAAGGGACGCGTCTCTAACACATGGGCAGTCGCCAATGTGTGTTCTACCTCACTATTACAGAGGTTGATTAACGTACACTCAAGGCTTTCATACAGTGAGCCTTGGTGCGTCTAGGCGGCAGTGTGGACAAACCCGCGCCCCAAAAAACGAATATGTGGGTTTGTTTGTTTAAGCATTACCAAATATTTCATTCGTTTGTCATTCAAATTTGAGAAGTTAATGCTAATACCCCTGTGGTGGTTTCTGCGAAAAAAAAATTCGATTTGGTGGCGCCCCGGCAGGGTTCTATTTAGCTCCCCGGGTTTTCCCGTGAGTACTATGGTAACTTTGTTCGTTTTAATAATTGCGAAACGCTATGAATATGATGGGCTACTATAATCACTCACTATACCGAGTGAGGCGCCTTCCTACCTAGACCCACCTACCTACATACCTAACTCCCTGCCTACGTACCTACCTATCTACTAACCTGCCTGCGCTGCTGCCTTCCTACCTACTTTCCTACCTACCGTTATTCCTGCCTAACTGCTTTCCTTCCACCCCGCCTGTCTACCCACCTCACATCCTACTTACACCCACACATATCTTCGTATGTATATATGTGTGTTAGTATGCTCAAGGACTATGTATTTTTACATTTTTGTTGTTACATAGAACTATTCAGTATAAAGGAGTTTCCTTTTTTTTTTTGACGTTGTAACTGCCGCTAAAATATTCTTTTTTGTATGTGTGCATAAAATAGTGTAGGTTTATTAACAAAAGTAAATTTTAGTATGTATTTAAGTGTATATAATCATTTTCGTCAAGCCAATGTGTTCATAATCTTAAATTTAAAAACCCATGAAA